CCTCCCCAGCCTTTGCGCCCAATCTGCTGGCCTGGTTCTTGCCCAGCAGGACCCACTGAGCCCCCCCAGGAGACCACCTGCCCTGAAAGACTCCAGGGGAAAGTGGGAGGTGGAGGGAACTGAGGGGGCAGCTGCTGTGACCCACAGTTTGGGGGGGACGGTCCCAGACGCTCAGGCCTGGGCGGGGAGTTGGCACAGCTCAGAGGCAGGCTGTCCTCCCTGCATAGGCTCTGGGCAGATGCAGCCCAGCCCCTGGCACTTGCTTGCGTGGCCTGGGGACCGCAGGTCACCATGCCGTTTTACTGTCCACCCTAGGGTCCCAAAGGAGAGAGCACCCCGGGCCAGCCTGGCCCACCCGGACCTCGGGGACCCCCTGGCGTCGGCTACGAGGGGCGCCAGGGGCCTCCCGGCCCCCCGGGCCCCCCAGGGCCCCCAGGGCCCCCGTCCTTCCCCGGCCCTTACAGGCAGAGTGAGTCCGGTGGGGGGCGGGCCTGGGCGCCAGCCACCTCCAGCTGGGGCCGGCCCATGCCCACCTCTGCTTCCTCTCACAGCTATCAGCGTCCCTGGCCCTCCAGGCCCACCCGGGCCCCCAGGCCCCCCCGGAACCATGGGCACCGCCTCAGGGGTAAGCAGCCCCTGCCCCCGCCCTGCTAGACACACACCACCCAGTGGCCGCTGGGCCACCCGCCCTCCGGAGCCCTGGGTGGCCCACAGGGACCCTGGCCCGCCTTGCCTAGGGCAGACGCACGGAATCCGAGGGGTGCACTCTGAAGCAGGAGGGGCTGGGCGGGCGGGCCCCGGGGCAAGGCCGGGGCGGCTGGGGGGCTCCCGCTGAGCCCCTCTCCCGCCTTTCCGAGGGCGGTCTCAGCCGCCTGGTGTCGCAGGGCGTCCTTGGGGGCCCGCCAGACGAGAGGCGTCCACTTAAGTCTTAAGGACTGTCCCTTGTCAGGGGCAGCCATATCGCCATCCCAGCACCCCGAAACGTCCACACGCAGCCCCCTGAACGCCCTTCCCTGTCAGGGCCGTGTCACCCCACCCTGTAAGCCCAAGGCCGCCTGGCTGTGCAGCAGGTCCCCATGGGGCTGGGCCTCCCGCAGGTGAGGATCTGGCCCACGTACCAGACCATGCTGGACAGGGTGCCTGAGCTGCCCGAGGGCTGGCTCGTCTTTGTGGCCGAGGGGGAGGAGCTGTACGTCCGTGTCCGGGACGGGTTCCGGAAGGTCCTGGTGAGTGCTGGTGGCCTTCCCCTGCACGTGGGAGGGCAGTGACCTGTGGCTTCACTCAGAGGGGCAGGGGCAGGATGGGGAGAAATGCCAGGTGGGGAGGGCCGCCCCCTCCCTGGGCCCTCAGGAAGATCCTGCCAGGGCAGACGCCACATGGGGCAGCGACGGCCAGAACTCGTGCTGCTTTTTTAAGTCAATAGACTGTTTTCTGAGCAGTTTCAGGTGGACAGGAGTGGTCCCCACTCTACAGCACACGCATGTGTCAGGAGTGTTATACGCCAGGCACAGATGCAGCCATGCTGGCTCCTGTGGCGAGGAGGACAGGGCTGGGCAAGTGGCTGGGAGGGCGGCCTGGCTGTGGGCTGGTCATTCAGAGGGGGCTGGGGTGACCCTGTGCTTTTTTCCAGCTGGGGGCCCGGACACCACTGCCACGTGGGACGGTAAGCCCTCATCTCCCCACACCTGCTGGCTTTGGTGCGCATGTCCCAGCCTTTCAGGTGGCCGGGGTGCATGTGGTGTGTGACAGTGGCCGTTTGCACTGCCTCATGGTCCTAGAGTGACGTGGTGCCTGAGGTCCCACCACCTCTAGGGACGGGGCGCACAGACTCTGCGGGGATGGGGTGCACAGACTCTGCGGGGGATGGGGCGCACAGACTCTGTGTGGGACGGGGCGCACAGACTGCGGGGATGGGGTGCACAGACTGCAGGGACGGGGCGCACAGACTGCGGGGATGGGGCGCACAGACTCTGTTGCCCTCCCTTCAGCCCACGCTGTTCATTGGTCTCTCATTCTTCACCTAGAGTGCAGGACACAGGGACAGATGCTTCTAGGCTGGAAGCAGGGGGCGGGGACAGGGACAGGTGGATGGGCTGAAGCACTTGCACCCCTGAGTCGAGCCGTAGTGCCCCCCTGCTGCGGGCTCCCTGGAGCAGAAGTCATGACTCCGCGAAGGGCCCAGGAGAGGCTGTGTGAGGTCGTGTCAGGGGTTCTGTGGGAGCCTGTCGGCCACGGCAAGCCCGTGCTCTCATTCATCCAGCACCTAGTCAGGGTCCTTTCCCCCACGCCAGGCACAGTCCTGGGCACGGGGTACGGCTGTGCATGAAAAGGCAAAGCCCCCTGCCTCGCGGAGCCGGCACGTGGGGGATGAGCCACACAGGTAACAGGTTTGCTAGTCTTCATTCCGTGAAGTGTAACATGTGACAACGTAAATGTAGCTGTTTTGTGTAACTGTACATATGAACTAATTACATTACAAATTTTAGCCAGGTAGTAGGCTAGCATAGGCACACAGGTAACAGTCACAGAGTGTACAATAAGTCAGAGGCATTTGCTGCTGTGGGAACAGATGGGACTCGGTGGGGTGCGGGGTTGGGACTTTAAGGTGGAGGTGGCCTCTGCGGTGGGCACGGAGCCAAGATGCCAGGAGCGGAGTACGTGGGCCCGCTGGTGTCCAGCCTCCAGGTCGGGATGTGGTGACCCAGGCCCCCCAGGCCACAGCGAGGCAGCGGCTTCTGAGCGTGGCGGAGCCAGCGAGGGGTGCAAGCAGTGGGCCATGGACTTGATCAGGGTGTAAACAGGGGGGCCAGGCTCCCCAGCCCTGGGTCCCACCTGACTGAGCACCCCCAGCTCAGCACTCCCAGCCAAGAGCACAGCTGGGGCACAGGCGAGGGGGTGCTCCGGGCTGGGTAGGAGGGAGAGGCGGGCCGGCGGCTGCAGGAGCCCTCCACACACCCTCCCCACCCCCGGTCTGCAGGACAACGAGGTGGCCGCCTTGCAGCCCCCGCTGGTGCAGCTGCACGAGGGCAACCCACACCCGCGGGGGCAGCTGCCCCCCTCCACGGCACGGCCCTGGCGGGCAGACGACGTCCTGGCCAGCCCCCCGCGCTGGCGAGACCCTCAGCCCTACCCTGGAGTCCCGCACTACAGCTCCTACGTGCAGCCCTGGCCGGCGCGCCCCACGGGCACCCCAGCCCACCCCCACCAGGACTTCCGGCCGGTGGTGAGTGGCCCCGGCCACGTGCCTGCCAGCCTGTGCTCGCAGGCAGGGTCCTCCGGGACCACCCTCTGGTGCTCGTTGGCGAGGCCTGTCCCTGCTTCTGTCCTGGGGGGGGACAGTGGTGAGGCCCGAGGACAGGGACTGATTTGGAAGGGGCAAGGGGGAGGGTAGCCTAATGGTGGCCATTCCAAGCTGACTGCCACCCACTCCAGGGCAGGACGCTGCTTCCCAGGCCCCGGTGCACCACACACCTGTGCCCGGTGCAGCTTGTCAGCCTCCCAGGCCTGGCCTCTGCCCAGACTCGCCCCTACTGCCCACTGGGGGGGTTGCGGCGGGTGCCAGGGCTGCGGGGTCGCTGCC